TTAAGTAGGGAAGAAGGTTTCAACAGCCTATCCCACTGCAAAGTGGGAGAGAGAGGGAGGGTGAAGCCAAAACCTCAAGAGGATGTACTCCACCGCCCGCTTCTTCGATGTAGCGCAGAGTTTGGATTGACTGCATGATTGTTGAGGCCTGTGAACAAATGAAAGGCCACGAAACCACAGCTCTCAAACGGATCGTTTTAAGGCAATTGGGTTCTCCACGGCTTGATGGAAATTGGACTCCTTAATTCCGACTCGCAAGGAGACGATTTATTTTGAAATTTTGACTTGATTAAGTCAGCTTTAGTTAGAGCGTTAATTATTCGTAAAACTACTCTTTCAAGCAGATTCTTGTCGGATCGCAGTCGTCAAAGTCGGCGTTGAGGTTACTGTGATATGACCGTTTTGTATGGAGGCTCAAGTTTCCTTCGCAAGATCTATTCAATGACCCTCACTAGCAAAAAGGACCATTTTGTACGATGAAGCAAAAAGATAAATGAACAATGGGACGATGTAATGATGAATGCATTGCGACGGTGATAGACGCCCAATAGGCATGCTTAAAATCCTCACAGCTAAAAGTTTTCGAGCTCCTTGAGACGATGTCGCTTCATGCCATCCAGTGATTCGCACGACCAAATCCTTCATCACCATGCACTGCGATGGAGCTGCGATAGCATCCATCTTCAGACGTCATACTAGTCACTTCGACACAGTAGAGCAGTCAGTACTAGCCAGGGCACCTTCTCCAGTGCATTCGTCCCACTTCATATTCTCAGTGCATAACAACCTCCCTCTAAGCACTGCAGCAAACTCTGTCACCTTATCTAACTTGAGGGTAAAAAGTGTAAGCGAATCTCCTCCTCCTCCTCCTCCTTCTCCCTTCAAATGGAGTGCGAGGCCGCAGGAAGGTGAGTTTACAACGCCGCTTTATCACTTTACCTGATTAAAGTCCTTTTGCCATGAAAATTTAAGTGAGATTTGCCTTCTGCACATGTTCCTATTCGCTTGTTAACATTAATTTATTTACTTACTTAATTTACCTTAAAAAATTGTCAAGCTTTTGTTTTATTGAATGGGAAAAGTTGATGGTGCTTAAAAAGTTTAAAAAATTTCTTAAAAGTGCCACAGAGTAGCAAAATTGAAACTCCATTTTTTTCCGTAACAACAGTCTCTCATCCAACCCACCAAACGCAGCAAGGGTAATAAGCTGGCTGAAGAATATTTAAAGGGAAGGCGCCAATTGATCGTATCGACGCCAGTACATGTTTTGGGTAGCTTCAGATCAGTCGTCATACACTAAAACGCCACAAACAGCATTTGCGCTACAGACTCGATTGCAGCAATGTGTGGATATGGGCGGCTTCTTGAGTCTATAATGCAATCTCAGTTTGTAATTGTAAAAGCCTCAAGGATGGCTATGAGGCTGACACACCTATTCGCTCTGAGGAGTTATGCTTTTATTAAGAATAAATGAGGCAATATCTTGGCCTCCGCGTACACAAAAAGGCCAAAACACGAAAGTTATAAAGAGGATCCTCTGAGATCCCTTCTACATAATTAACTGAGAGAAATTCTTCAGTCTTCAAAACAAGTCTTCGAAGTCAATTATTTCATTACATAAAGTTAGAGTGGGGAATAAAAAGTGATAAGCAGCCCTAAAATGGGAAGGAACCGACTGAAGCTTTTGTCCTAACAAATAAATGGCTTTAGGTCCTGGAGGGTGAAACTGTGAAATGGGTACGTGGCGTTTCTTTGACGTTGTCGGAGTTCACAGGTAAATGAGCTCTTGTTCATTCAAGCTATTTGTTTCCTACTTTAACTCCTCTTTCCCCAATGCGATGCCACTACCGGCTTTACCAACAGTTAGCAGTGTGGTTGCATGTGCAATACGGGTAACGTTACCTTTAAGTACACAACGGAAGTGGTCCATCCCACGAGGAGGCAGACAATGAGGAAGGCACCACAGAGTATCACAGTGAGGAGGACCATCTTTTAAACAAAATGCAAGACAACTTAGATGTTAAGCTTTTAGCTGTGTATTTTTCTCTTTTCCCACTAACCAGTGTTATGGCGGATGCTCAATTAGCATATTTGGGTTGCAAAATTTCAACTTCCGCAAAAACATTGCAAAAACCAATTTTTGCTTCACTTTAGAACAACGATTCAAGGCAGAAACTGAAGTTAGTCTCTCAAATTATGCTGAAAAGTTCAGTACTAACATGACACTGGAAAAGGACGTAAAGCCATTAATGCGTATTTTAAATAAGTCTAATAACGCCAGTAAACTACATTCAAGCGATAAAACAAAAAATGGTAATCTCGGTGAATGTTTGTAGATGGAATCACATATAAAAGGCAATAAATAAGGCACGTTAGGCAGATGTATTGGTAAAATACGGATAGAGATGAGCGTGCACCTCTCCAAGGTAAACACATAACGAAGACCTTACTTGAATCTTCTTATAAGCCTGTAGGCTGCCTAAGCGCATGATTGATCCGTATTTCAAATACAGCTAAGCATAATTCTTTAAAGTTTGCATAGGCTCCGTCCTAATTATGCTATTCACCTGATTTCCATCTCATTAGCCATTTAAGATATTTTCGCGATTTCTAATTTAACATGGCCAAGGTTTTTAAGTCATGTGTGAAGTAGGTTGCATATTCGGAAAAGCACATAGAAAGAATGCGAAAGCAAGGTTTCCAAACGGACCTTGACTCTGCATGTGGTGAGCATAATGGCATACAAGCTTACCTCCGACGTCCATTTTATTTGCTTGAATGGCAAGTTTTCAGTTGAAGTTGTCGGCTCAAACATCACCATGTCCTGCGCAGTTGATCTTGTTGGCCGGATTCCCTGAACCTATGTGTTTCTTAGGCTCGTTTATTCGAAATAAAATCCTAACATATGATAACCCTATGGCCACTCAACAGAGGTAAAAAAAATAAACAAAGAAACAGCAGACAAATGCGTGTCCTCTTAACTAACCTCAGACTCGTTCATACTCGCCAGTTGTGGCAGGGTTCCTGTGGTTTCAACAGCTTCTGTTGTCGGTCGGTCATTTTGAGTGGTCTCCCTCAATGTTGTAACATTGTCCGTGGACACATCGAAATTACTTACCACGGTGCCATTCATAATGCTAATAAAGCCTTATTCACTTTTTCGCAAATTCATTTGGACCATGCTAAGCCAAGCCTGGTTAATCGAAATAGAAGCTGCTGATTGGTCCGTGTGTACAGTCTAACACAAAAATACTTCTGATTTGTTGGAAGATTTGATTGCAATTACTACCTTTGTGTGTGAGATATAAGAATGAAATGTTGCCGCAAGAGTAGTTAGTTCCTTCCATCTCAGTCCCCTTTCAATGAGAAGAGTGGCTAACATGGCCGAGGTTGGCTCTGAGCTCTACTGGAGAAGACAAGCAATGTAGCAGGCGCTGATGTCCTTCATCGGTGAGGTACACCCTGTGTGAGGCTGCACTACAATATAAAAAAAAGAATGTTAGATCAGGGGTCCCAAGTGGTTTCTTATTTACCTCGTTTTACGTCCTACTTTAAGGTATAGCAATTAAGCAGTGGTTTGGACGGAGAATCCCTTAACTGATTCGCATACTTGATGCGAGCACCCTGAAAAATTTGATGCTGTGAGCCAATGACAACCCTTTGAGTAGCTATTAATTTCCTTCTTTATTGAATAATTTTGCCACTGCAAGGGTCGTTAAAGCTAAACCAACTTACTAATTGCTGTTTTACTTGCACACTAGGAGACGATACTGTGCCAGTGTATTCCATTCCAGCCAGTCGGCTTCCATGTTGTGCTTGAGTCCCTTTTAGCCAGAAATTTACTGCAACCGTGCTTGATGTAGTCAACAGCAATCTACCTTCGCAGCCTGCAAAGCAGAACACTTTTCACCAAAAAATAGATGTCTGTATTGTCCGCCCACCATTGTTGAGTCAGACCATAGCACAGGAGTAAAGTGAGTCAACGATCGACTGCCAGCGTCGGATGTTGGAGCGCCCTTGAGTAGTCAAGGCCAACACCTGAAGCATTCATATTTCTGGTTCTTGTAATTATACAAGCGTAATTACACGACGCTACAACTACCCAGATTAACCTTCACCGCTGCAAAAAATGCTACCGCGTTCTAAGGAGAACACTTCCAATCCTACAATTGACGGCAAGCCCGTAGAGACGGGTCATACGAAAGTCAAAAGGTGGGGTTCTGGAGGAATGGGCACCATGTCCTATCTACGGTATCGATTTTCTCCCGTCACTCTCCATCTTGAGACCTTAAGATCGACATTGTCGTGTTTCAGTTATGTCCACTGCGATACTCAACGGTATCCAATGTCATTTCGAGATCAACCACACCCTGACTCCTTTGGTGAGTAACTTCATCGACGAAAAAACGCACAATCTCGCCAGAATACTATGAAATTCATCAAAACCGTTAACTACTTCGAGTCTAAGGAGCTACATCTACCACATCGCAACCGGAGGCCCCTTAACACGACAAATTTGCTTGCGGCAAACGCCGCGCACGCCAACCACACCCACCAACCATCGGTAACAGTAGGCTCCATTAACCTTCTGAGGTTACCACGATTGCCGCATGATCTAATTGTTTGGAGTCAGCGAAGTGTAATGGCAAAACTTACAAGGAATTATAAGCTGTAAACAAACACCTCCGCACTCTGGACACCGAGTTGATGCAGAACGCCACAACTAGACCAAGTGTCGAACTGGAAAATCAGTAATATCTACGCGGCAATTTAAGTGTCAAATTACATTATTTACCGCATTTTCGCAATGACTTGAAGCAAAGGTAAATCGGAAAACGAGAACCATTGATACTTGGTGATACTGAAGAACGAGGATAGATCAATGGTCTCGAGATGAAGCGCGTAGTAGACACGATGAGACGGGAGAGAAGGCTCTTGATACATTAAAGAACAGATGAAAATTTGACGAGTGGAATAGGTACAAAAATCAACGCCAAGTCTCAAACAAGCAGCTTCTTCGCGTCCACGGAGACCAAGTCGCGCGCCGTTGTTACCGACTTCTGCCACTCCGTCAATCGATTTGCCATGCTGGTGATCTGCAAGAAGGATAATAAAATCTAACTTCACTCGCGAAAGCAATTCAACTGACAACTGAGTGTTGGACGATGATCATGCAGTCAAGGCACGAGCAATATCCGACCTCATTACTGGTTACGTCTACATTAGGATCTGACAAAAAGGAATTGCAGGAAAGAAAGGACCAACGAAGGGTACAAAGCGACCAAAGAGTGCCTTTCACCTAGCGGGAATCAAAGAGTGAAGTTTGCAGGTGATGTCAAGCAAGTAATCACCCAAATAAAATGCTTTTATGAGAAGCTCCAAGTAACTTGTTTGTGTAGACTAACACAATGAAGAAGGAGATCTCGTTTGGTGAAGAAGTGGCGAACACGGAGAGTAGTAAGAGGATCCATAGACGCCATTTAGGGAAAGAAAATGATACAGGATACAAAGGGAGAGGAAAGGACGAATAAACCACATTATACTAAAGTATATTCAGTAGCAAAGGCAACGACGACCAAATTGGAATTCGCATGACCTATCACCAACCAACAGGTGGGAGAAATTTCAGCAGTCCGTCCATCTACTCAAAGCAACAAGGACGACAGTGAAGGCGGTAGAGTGCATACCTGATCGAGGTCGAGGACACGGGGCTGGAGCCAAGTGAGGGTGACTTTCTGATTTACCTCATCGATGCGCCCCTTCATGAGATTAAGGGAGAGTGCTCGCATCACTATGCTTTCCACCTAAAGAGTAAGAAGTGTTATCAAGGACCCACTGAGTTGCTCATCTATACCAACGCTCCAATGTGGATGAGATCCGATCATGAAAAGATCCACAGATGTACGCATTAGAATAGGAACAATTTCGGATAAACAAAACTATCAGGAAAAAAAACCTAATCGAGTCACAATAGTGAATCACCTTATCAAGCGGAGACTTGGTAGCCGCCGCAATTTCTGCAAAGCTAACGGTGCGTTGGTTCGGCGGTCGACGGAAGAACATCTCCATCAGAGCGAGAAGAATGGCCTTCTCCTGTAAAAGCTCACACGCTTCCGCCAGATCCTTTACTGCCGACCATTGAGGCCGGAGCTGCATGATGGTATCAAGGTCTCCCTTGTTGAAAGCGTGCAGCATATCTACAAGCCATGCCATATCTGGCTTTGATCGTAGCGTCTCTAAAATCTCATGTGATATCTATAAAGAAAGGAAGAATAACGTCCTGAGAAGCCCCAAGTGCGCCCGCACTACCATCCTCCTTTTAACAAAAGGATTACAAGACCTCACTGAAAGCCAGAAAATTCCAGACTTAGGCCCACAACTTAACTTGCTACATCGGCCACGACTGACCAGTTTCAAAGCAAGTTCCCCAGTCAATCGGCTTTTGAAAAATACAAATAGTAGCCACAAGGGGGAAGCCACTTTGATTACTGGATGTGAAATACGGGAGCAATTGCAAATGCAGTAGGTTATCGACTAGGAGAAAACGTACCCTACTTGATTAACACAACCCCAGCTTGCACATATGTCCATAACAAACGGTACCTGATTTGAGGTAACAACATCACGAACGCATCAATGCCCGCCGTGAGGGACGCGTCGTCGATTGAGTTAATTCTTAGCGGAATTTGTATTAACCTTATCCCATGCATGCAAGAGCTGTAATTCGCGAAAGCTCTGAAACAGGAGCAGCTCATTCACTTTACCACTATCGCGACTAGACCATTCACGTAGCCAAGCGAAAAAGGCTTGTTACATTGGTTCTTAAGTGTAATAGAAGTAGCTTTCATTAACCACCATTGGTGCGAAGACTTATTTCGCAGTCACCGGAACAATAACACGAAAAAAGACTAAGTAACAGTAGAACATGAACCAGAAATCCCACTCGAAAGATTACTGATTGCCGCACTTATAAAAGTCACACACGTTTTGACATTAGCTCTCACCCATTTACGGTGTTCAAAGATTGTAGAAACTAACGGAATGTACAAACGCAGAGAGGACCCTACGGATTTCGACAAAGGTTTGGTAGGTCAACCTACCAATTCCCCGAAATTGTACACGTTCCGACCCAGCAAAGCCGCGAGACCGATTGAAAAAGCCCAATCCTGCTTTTCCGATTCAGAGAGTTCGGATAAATCGGTACAACCAAGAAACCGAAGAGCCTCTTGATAGTGCTCCGCATGCTGACCCATAAGCTAAAATGAACAGCTTGAATCCAAAAAGAATAAAACAGCATGACATCCCACTCCAAAATCAATATTAACTTTGAAGTACTGTGAGCTCATTCGATAGTAGCGTGAATGAACAGGAGTAACCCCGTCAATTTTTGACAAGATGTCACCCGTGGCTTCGATGATATCACGAGCACCAGGTAGATCATGAAGTACGAGGAGTCGAACCATGCCAATAGTCGATTGAGCCAAGATTAGAGCCTCATCATTCATGCTCATGTACTGAGATCCAAAGTTAGAGGAAACAACTTACTTTGTCCCGATTATCCTCCAGAAATTTAATTGTGCTTTGCGGATCTTCAAGTAGTCAAGTAAACTAGAGAACATACCTTTTGTTACCATTTCATTGCTCATGGGAACCAAAATTTCAGCTAGAGAAAGTGGATTAATCCTATCATTGCCTATCATATCAATAAGATCGATTACTTTGATTTGATAGAGTTTAGAAACTGTTGGTCGAACTAAAAGCACTTAGATTGAAGGTTAACCTACTTCATTTAAATCAAGTGAGGCCGTAAACCCAGGTTTGTTCAGGCTCTCCAATACCTGCAGCGTCAATTGGTGCCACAGTCTACGACATGCATAAATATTAACAACGAAATACTTTCTAGAGTACAAATCGCGTATATGAGTCCAATCGTCTCTGAAACTCTTGGAGTTCTTAATTCTTGCATCAAGATACTCCATGCCTAGCAAAAAAGTGATAAAGGCTGAAATCCAACTGCCGCGCGCTGCACCTAAAAAGCTGCAACAAATTTATCAAAGTAATCTGAAGTGTGCTCTAAGAACTCAAACTCATTTGGGCTTTGGAGAATAAAATTCTCACATCAGCAAAAAAGAAATTTTGATATTCTACCTATTATTAGTTGCATCAACAGAATTTTTGCACTCCCACACATTTTAGTTAGGTTCGAAAATTTGTCGCCTTAAAGGTTATTACAGCTTAAGTCAGTAAACTTTATTTTATAGACACTGTAGGAACTGTCCGTCCACCCTCATGCCTTTGAACCACGGACCTTAAGAGAGGATTTGTTGCAGTAAATTTACTAGGCATTGAATACAGGAAGAACGGCGATAAGCATACAGATGAGCCGAATAGCGGATATTAACCGGAGACGAATTCTTCACGGTCCTCACGCACCGGATTTGTGTTTTAACTTTGGCCCCGTCTCTCTTCTATAATGGTCAACTTAACCACTATAGTATATATTACAGTTAGTAAATGTCATGGAGTAATTGGTTGGTCATGAAGACTCGTAGACGGGCTATTATCCAGCATTTAGTCTCTCCGTAGCATCTGGACTCAATCTTTTAGGAGAGAGGCGGGAACCGAATTAAAACGCGAATCTGGTGTGTGAGTGCCATGAGGAGTCCGTCTCCGGGTGATATCTGTTATTCGGTTCACCTGTGCTCCTACTCCCGCTCTTCCTGTAAGTCAACTGCATCTAATCCCCTCGTGAAGTCCGTGGTTAAAGAGGCTAGGCGGGCAGTTCCTACACTGGTGGCTGCGCCAGTCGACATCCATCCCTTCAAAGAAGGCACGGATTTCGATAACTGGCTTTTTTACAAAGGCAGAGCTCGGACTCTTTGATACTGTACGGGAGTGCCACTGCTACTCCACGCCTTACCTTACGACCTACGTCGAGTAGCGATGGAAGCGGGTATTATGCTTTCCTCAGACATCTAAGAGTGCTGTGAGGTTCTTGTCAAAGTGACATCTCTCTAGAAGGACAAAGTCTAAGCTTCAGACATTTTCCACTGAAGACTTCATGGTGAGTCCCAGTTATTAGCCAAAGTATAGGATTCCAATTCAGTGACTCTTTTATTTGGTCTTTCCACGTGGTGAGGATGGGTATAAACAAAGTATACGGTCATAAAATCGAGTAGAAAAATGGGAAAAATATGGCTATTATTAATGCTAGATGCATGTCACTTTACTTTAAAATATAATTTTAGACAAATTTCATAAAACTAAAAAACAGTGATTTATAAATTCAAAATGAAAACTGCCCAAGTACTAAATTTACGTTACTGTTTCGTAAGCAACTGTTGATATACAGTGTTTGTTGACCATTTTTCAATGACAAATAATGTGCCTAGAGGCTTATCGAGCTCAGTTCCAATCATAGGTTCCTAGCATCTTTTAAAAGGATGCTGCCTATATATTTTGTATTACATTGTTCCGAAAGAAACAAACGCAGCTTTTTGAAAATAAGCATTAGATTGTAGCGGTTAAGACTCTTCATAGGGTGGAGGATGTATCGTTCTGAGACTTTCTGGAGAGAATGATGAGGACTAAATGGGGAGTCTCCACTTATTAGCCAAACAGACATTCAAGGATTGTTGCCCCTGCGGGTTCACATTAGAACCAGCAGATTGAGCCGTCTCATCGACGCGGTAGTCCCCAAGCGCAAGGAGCTTCAATTCTCAACGGAGTTCAACACCCGGTTTCGCCCGTGGACTCCCAAAGGACGGCCAAATACTGGTGGACAAAGGCGCGCGCTTCGAAGCCGTTCCTCAGTACAC